TATCGTGCTCTGCACTGGAGTTTAGACCTACTTTCAGCTGGTCTATTCTATTTCTATTTAGTTTCTCAAAATAGCAAAGCGCCAGCAATGCGCCTCAAAACGCCTCTTATCTAGACCAAAACACCCATGAGTCTACAAAGTGGCACAAATAGATTTGCTTTTTAAACAAGGTGGCGGAAAATAGCAACACGTCATAGAAACTCTTCTCGCTCCTTATTGCGCCGGGTCTATCAAATAGAGAGTGCGAAAGAGAAAGCTAGCTAAAGAAAGAATCATAATAATCATACAACACACAAATGTAACCCCTCGTTGAACACAATAGATTTTATTTTTAAGAAACATTTCAAATATTTTGGCACAGTAAACATGTCAGGCCGGATAATTAAAATAAATTATTGACTTCAGCTATATTCATTAGTTGCAAAAACCTGAAAAGGCAGCTGAAATTGAACTGACCAGTAGCTTTTGATGTGGAGATATTGTTGCCCTAAAAAACTAAATAAAATCGTCGGTGCAATAGCCTAGTTGTTAGCGCGCCGACATATGGTGCAAAAGCAGGTCAGGGAGTCGCGAGTTTGAATCCCAGCTCGACGACATTTCCCTACCTTACCCCCTCTCTCTCTCTCTCTCTCTCTCTCCCACTTTGCTTCCTGTCTCAATACTGTCCTTTCTAATAATAAAGGCAAAAAGGCCAAAAATAAATCTTAAAAAAAAAAAAAAAAAACTAAATAAAATTGTCCTGAAAAACATGTAAAAATATATATATTGTGGGATGTTGCAAAACATTTTCATTTTGTGTCTTAGTGATGACGTCACCAGTGACTAGTCGTCGTCGACTCAACTTTCATAGCATAAAAGTCGACTTCCAAAAATCTTAACGTTCAACCTCTAGTGTATGTATTCGGAGCAAAACAAAAGAAATGCTATAAAATCTGACGCAAATTAAGCAAAAACTTGTTAATTTTACTCTCAGAAAGTAAGACTTTTTTTTTTACGTGATACTGAATGGACTGACTATCCACCTAAAACTTTAAGCATGTGCTAATGCTCATCATAAAGCAGGCCCTCAGTATTGACCAAATAGTGTTGTTTTGGAGATGAGAGAGACATGGCTCGTGTTTCGTCCCTGTTGGCCCAGCTGGGCTGACTTGAGGTCAGTCGGACAGGTCGTGTTATTTATTAGCCCCTCATTTCTCCATGCTTCCTGATCAAAGGCCTGTTTGGGTTTCAGCGGCACCTTGAGTTCCAGCTTTCTCTATCAGGCTGTCTGTTTCTGGACGCTCATCCAGACCACTGTCTTTAGCAAGAGTTCAATGGACTTTCCAGAGAGAGACACACACACACACACACACACACACACGGCTCCGTCTGCTAATTGCCAGTCATTCACAGGTTTAATGGAGCAAGACGACTGTCGTAATGCAAACAGATAGCTTGTGCACACTAGATACTGTAATACACATTTCAGAACTTAAGGAGTAATTGCTTAATCCTTGCAGATGCTACTGGAGATTTATTGCGCATCTGGGCTGCTTTAATGCTTATGATGTTTACCACGTGTACTGTATATGTGCATTCTTTATAGTAGGAGCATGACGCAGTGTTTTGTACTATTTTTAAATGTTTTTGAATGAAGTGAGCAAGCATACATTTATACGATCACAAATACTGTAAAAATAAGTGTTATTAAAGCTGTTATTATGGTTTAAAATATTAGAATTTTAGCACCATTACTCAAGTCTTTAGTGTCATTCAGAAATTTTTATTTAAAGGGAACCTATTATGCAAAAATCACTTTTAAAAGAGGTTTAAACACAATTACTTGTATTTTTTATAATCACACTTGATTAAAACAGTCTGCAGAAACCCTTTGATTGACATTTCTCTCTTTGTAGGTGTCATCAGATGGGAAAAGCCCCGCCCATTAGTGACCATCTCTCCCTCATTAGCATAAACGGCTCTTAGTGAGGAGCAGCCATTTGACATTAAAGTTTTGAATCTGCTACTATACTGACACATAGGAGTTCATAGCTCCACCCTCTTTTTAAAAAGTGCACAATCTCATTTGAATTTAAAGCCACAGTCACCAAAATTGCACAGTTAGAATGAAAACCTAAAGGTTCAGTTTCAGAAAGTAATAGAACATTATTTGTGTGGTATTTTGAGCTGAAACTTCCCATACACACTCTAGGGACACCAGAAATGCGTTTTGCCTCTTGTAAAAAAGGGCATAATAGGTCCCCTTTTAAAGGAATGGTTCTCTTAAAAAAGAAAACAAGATATTCTGATGATCGCTGGGAGAAATAATTGGCTTCCGTAGTAGAAACTAAAATGCAATAGAAGCCAATAGCTTTTTTCTTTGTGTTCAACATAAGAAACTCACAAGTTTGGAACAAGTAGAGGACAAATAAGTGACATAAATGGTGTTTTGGGGTGAATTATCTTTTTTATAAGTTGATTTACTGTTAAAAACAAAAACAAATCTTATTATCAGTATTGGAAACTGTTTTTGTGGAAATCTTTTTTTTTTAAAGGTCTTTTGATGAATAAATAAAAAAACAGAGTTATTTGAAAGGAATTTTAGAGATTTTGTTTACGTTATTAATGTTTGTACAGTCTCGTTTATTAATTGAATGTATCTTTGGCTAACTGAAGTATTACATATGTTTAAAACATTAATAAAATGGGATCCCAGGCACATGCATTTATTTAAAAAAATCTCTTGATTATTAATAACGCAATGTTTTTTGTTTTATTTTTTTACTTAGAAATTTTAAATTTTATTTTTCTCCATGACTTGTCAGACATTTTCAAAAAATTGGGGTATCACAACAAAGGACAACAAAACTTAACATTTTTATAATTAAGGAAAATTTTTTATATTTAATAAAACAAAGTTAAATGTACTAGATAATTTATAGAAGTTATGTTTTTTTTTTATAAATATGGATGGGGAAAAATATATAGGCCACTTTATTAGGTACACCTATCCAACTGCTCGTTATGCAAGTTTCTAATCAGCCAATCACATTGCAGTAACTCAATGCATTTAGGCTTGTAGACATGGTCAAGACGATCTGCTGCAGTTCAAACTGAGCATCAGAATAGGGAAGAAACGGGATTTAAGTGACTGAATGTGGCATGGTTGTTGGTCTCAGACGGGCTGCTCAGAGTATTTCAGTAACTGCTGATCTACTGGGAAATTCACACACAATCATCTCTAGGGTTTACAGAGAATGATCTGAAAAAGAGGAAATATCCAGTGAGCGGCAGTTCTTTGGGCGCAAATGCCTTGTTGATGCCAGAGGTCAGAGGAGAATGGCCAGACTGGTTCTAGCTGATAGAAAGGCAACAGTAACTCAAATAAGCACTTGTTACAACCGAGGTCTGCAGAAGAGCATCTCTGAACACACAACACGTCCAACCTTGAGGCGGATGGGCTACAGCAGCAGAAGACCACACCGGGTGCCACTCCTGTCAGCTAAGAACAGGAAACTGAGGCTACAATTCACACAGACTCACCAAAACTGGACAATAGAAGATTGGAGAAACATTCCCTAATCTGATGAGTCTCGATTTCTGATGCCACATTTGGCTGACAGGGTCAGAATTTGCCATCAACAACATGAAAGCATTGATCCGTTCTGCACACCACACTGGTTTTTTGAACATGACAATGAGTTCACTGTACTCAAATGGCCTCCACTGTCACCAGTTCTCAATCCAATAGAGCACCTTTGGGATGTGGTGGAATGGGTGATTCGCATCATGGATGTGCAGCTGACGAATCTACAGCAACTCAGTGATGCTATCATGTCAATATGGAGCAGAATCTCTGAGGAATATTTCCAGTACCTTGTTGAATCTACGCCAAGAAGGATTAAGGCAGTTCTGAAGGCAAAAAGTGAGTCCAACCCAGTACTACCTAATAAAGTGGCTTGTGTATGCTTTAACCTTCTCTTTAAATGCTGGTTTCAATTACTGTTTGTTTTTGTTTTTTGTCTTCACATGCACATCGCTTCTCAGTGAAATTTGCTACAAGAACACACATTACCAAATGTATTCATAAAGAGTAGTAACCTCTCAAATGTGACTAGTTGGGCGTAGCAGTTAAACTGGGGTGCTAATGGGAATATAATGTTGTTGTGTTCCTGCAGGAATTATCAGACGTCATGTTTTCCAGACCTGCCCACCCTTTATGACATGCTCTCTTTAAAAATAACTCCTTTCGTTTTTGTTCATTCACGCTTCTCTGCGTCTCCTGTTACGTCTCTGCTCTCACTTCTTTATCCATTAAAAACGCGCTGGAAAACGGAAAGGGCCCCCACCTAGATTGAGCCAAAGCTTCTTGTGTTTAGCCACAATGTTGGCATTATAGTGTTTCCAGTGTTGCTGTGAGCTGGAACCTTTAACTGCTGGGACTGGAAGTGAGGCGCGGCTAGTGCTCTGATTTACGGAGTGATTATTGCAATGCGAAGGTCGAGGGGGTGTGTGTTTAATGAATGTATTGAGGGTATGAATGCATGCTTATCTCATTGATGTCAAAGCTTAGGGAAAATTGTCCAAATCGCCAGATCATGTTCTGCAAGATTAACTCTCACTAGTGGCCAAGCTTCAGATTTAAAACAAACCCCTAAACAGAAGTTACATTAGTTATGTTAATAGTTACCATAGATGCCAAAAAAGAACCTTTCATAGCAACCCCTTGGCAATCAGCATGTCTAAATGGTCATTTTCTTATTCTTATCATGTGTTTTTCTGTTTTTTCATCCTCTCTGACTGTCAGTGGAGTTATTATAAGATGATGATGGCTGCTGTTGAGTCTTTAGAGGGTTTATAAGGTCGTCGTCTGGCTGTTCTGGTTTTAATTACGGGTGATTTATCTTTTTTGTACAGGCTGTGCTAAAAACAGCACGTGTTCGGTCTGACAGTGAGCCTGATGTCTGCGGTGCTCATATATTTGTGTGATTATGAGGATTTGCTTTTGTTTGTTCCTCCAGATATGTCACACAACAGCGCAGACCCCTTCTCTGAACCCACCGAGTTCGAGTACCTCAGGAAGGTCATGTTTGAGTACATGATGGGAAGAGAGACCAAGGTATTATTTCTGCACTTTGTGATGATGTCATTTAGGGAAACGTTATGGTTCAGTTATTACTGCTTAGTAGTTTTATTTGAACCCTCTAGCTTAGGGGTGCACAAACTTTTCCTTATGAAGGGCCAAAAACCAAACTTAATTGAGGCTATTTGGCAGGAGGTTAAAATTGCCATGAAGAATTTCCAAATTTTTTTAAATTAAAGTTAACCAGAAAAAATGCTTTATTTTAAATAATACAATATGTATAATGTATATATTTGTTATGTATGCATATATATATATATATATATATATATATATATATATATATATATATATATATATATATATATATATATATATATTATAATGAACTTACTACGGTTAAAAAAAATCTCTTTTATAAAAGAATGGAGTTAAACTTGGTTTTGTCTTGATTTGCTCACTGATGTCTTGTGTATACTCCTCTATCCATCGAGTGAAAGTATTTACATTTAAAAAATTCTGATTCATTTACATTTAATTTCATTTAGCTTTTTTTAGCTCACCAAAAAAAAAAAAAAAACCTTTTCATTCTCACTTTCTTTTAAGGTAAAATGGTGGGCAAAATCAGAGGTTACAAATGGGCCAACTTTGGTCCGCGGGCCTACTTTGATTATCCCTGCTGTAACTGTATTAAACATTATAAGATTTGTTTGATTTGAGTTTAGTTGGATAGATAGATATAAATTTGTAGTGATTTTTAGACTTCATGATGTCACTTAGAGAAAGAATGTAATATATGGACAATATAGTACAGCATGAAACAATCTTCCCTCCGTTTTAACAGAAATTGGGGAAAAATAAACAGGGGCGCTAATAATTCAGGGGGGCTAATAATTCTGACTTCAACTAAATATATATATAAAATTAATTACTTTTATTTATTTAGTTAGTTAATTAAATAAAATAACTAAGAATCCAGAACTATAGCCTTGACAAGCTTATAAATGTTAGTTTGTTTACATACATCATACATATAAATACTGTAATAGTATATCGATCATTAAATAACACAGATTTATTAAATTTACCATCATCCATTGAGATGATTTTACAATGTTTAATAAATTGATTGATTTTTTTTTTTGCGTTTGCTACTTTTCATAATTATCATAATGTTGTTGAGCAATTCATCCATAAAATATATATATATATATATATATATATATATATATATATATATGTATACTGGTTGAGAAGATTGGGAATTGAGAATATAAAACTTACGTTGATAATGTATTGAAATATTAATTAAAAATATTAATAAAAACTAGATTAGTAGGGTATATCATCCTAAAATTACACTGATTTATCAAATTGTAATATCCATTGTGATGTTTGTTGTTACTGTACTCAGCACATATAAGTACACCCTTCACAATTCTCTCTTTTAAATTCATATTTTTAATAGAAAGCTTTACAATATCATATTTGTGCATATACATTAGATCAGACAGTACTGAAGCCAAATCTGGAGCGAATCTAATAAAATAACTTACGATAACGGTCCAAAAACTAGCACACCCAAATTTATATGTTATAGAAAAATGTTAAAAAGTAAAAATTAAGAGAAACAAAAAAAAAGAAAAATTTAGTTGAAATTTTGTAGATTGTAATTATTTTTTTCAATATTTTTTCAATTCTTAATATTTATTTGCAGTTTTTTTTCAATTTTTAAAAAATGTTTTTCGACTAAAATATTATTTTAGCAAATAAATATATTTAATATAAACAGATATATTAAAATACATTGCCTATATGCACTAAAATAAATTGCCTATATTCACTCTGTTATGCGGAGTACAGTACATTGAGTTATTTGCTACTTCTAATAAATTGTCCTAACGTTAATGTGAAATAAATGAATGACCCAATTTAAACAAAAGGAAAATGCATATGTAGGAATGAACCAATAAGAACGTTGAGGGTCAAGTTTAAGATAATGGTCACACTTTACAATAAAGTTTCATTAGTTATACTTAATGTATTTACTAACATAATCAGCAATTTTGAATTATGAACAACACTTGTACAGCATTTATTAATCATAGTTCAGCATTTACTAATGCAATATTAAAATACAAATGTATGCTTGTATGCATGAGTTAACATGAGCTAATAATGAGCAACTGTATTTTCATCAACTAACTTGAATAAATACGGTAATAAATGCATTGTTCATTGTTTGTTCTTGTTAGTAAATACATTAACTAACCTTAACTAATGCAACCTTATTGTAAAGTGTTAACAAGATTTCATCATATTGCTGTTTCTCACAGTGCAGCATACTAATGCCGTTTGTTAGAGGAAGGATGCAGTAAATGAGTGTGACGGGGAGTCCGGATGGAAGCCTATAAAATGATTCATTCCCATGAAAACTCCATTTAGCAGGACCCTAATGAGCGAACGCAGTCTGATTAGTTAACAGTGTGGTTGACGGTGCCCTGAAGCTTGATTTACTAATGGATCCTTTTCACATTTGCGTGTTTCTCCGTAGCGGAAGTCGTCATAGTTGGTTAAACTCAGAGCGCAGAGAATGGGAGAGTTATAAATAGCAGCATAATAAATAGAATTAAAGCAGTTTTTAATGCTTTAAAAATCATTTTGAGGTCAATATTATTAGCCCACTTAAGCAAGATTTGTTTGGATTGTCTACAGAACAAACCACTGTTATACAATGACTTGCCTAGTTAACCTAACTAACCTAGTTAAGCCTTTCATGTCACTTTAAGCTGTATAGAGGTGTCTAAAAAATATCTAGTCAAATATTATTTACTGTCATCATGGCAAAGATAAAATAAATCAGTTATTAGAGATGAGTTATTAAAACTAGAAATGTGTTGAGAAAATCTGCTCTCCTTTAACCAGTTAAACTCCGGGTTGTCGAAGTCATCGGCTTTCGCTTTAGGATTTAAAGAGCTTGCATTGCACCAGACCCCCTTAAGTGGTTTCGTATGAAAGTGTAGAAGCTATATTTTATGCACATATGCATCACTTTGGTTTTTATTCCACTGTACAAAAGTTATTTACACATAAATACACCGTATTTTTGGATACCTGAGCTGGGTACTGAACATTGGTTCATTTTCATATTTGTCATATGACACATGTAAAAGTTATAGCTCAAATGAAAGCTCTTGCCAGTGCTCATACAGTTCCAGCGTTCTTTTTACTGAATTATATTCACATATCAAACAGTTGTCAAATGAATCGCGGTGTTTCCATGGCGCAGAAGTGAAAACAATACATTTATGATCACTAAGCAGCCCCAGATAGCACATATGAAATATGTAAACAATGATCGGTCCCTGTGGCTTGTACAGCACCTCTCATCAGTTGGAATACAGTAACTTTTGCATAGATTATGGTAGAGACATGTTTCATTTTTCCCATGATTACAGACATGTGCAGGAACCACCAAAATCAATTACAGTACGCTAGATCAGTGGTTCTCAAAGTGGGGGTCAGGACCCCTTGAGGGGTCACGGAACAATGAAGGGGGTCGCCTGGTGATTTGCAGAAATCTACTTATTATTATTAGGCCATAAGAATTACCATATTTTATTCATAACCAACTGAAGAGAAAAAAACAGTCATTTATAGTTACTATTGTAGCTTTTTTACTAGTTCTATTGGATTGCGACCCCTGGGGTAATTACATTATATTAAAGACAGCAATAGCGTCAGATACAGCAGATTGATTTTATAACACCAGGTTAAACTTTCTGGCCCATTTACAGCACTGACATACATTAAAAAAAATTAAACGCGAATAGACTTTGGTCTATTGGTGTGTGTGTGTGTGCGCCATTGTATGCAAGTTTTTTGTATTTATAACCACCTCAGAGGATATTGGGGGTCGCGAGTCACTGGCATTGTTATTTTAGGGGTCCATGCTGAAAAGTTTGGGAACCCCTGCGCTAGGTTACACAGAACCTAAAAGGTACACTTTCAAATTTGAGTTTATAAAAAAAATACAAAAAGCGCCTCTTTATTTAGGTGTTTATTATAACACAGACAACAAATACAGTTTTTCAAACACTTTTAATAGTGTTTTATGAAAATTCAAAGAGTTTAACTGGTTAAACAGAAATCGGAAACAAAAATACAAGAGGGCTAATAATTCAGGAGGGCTAATAATTTGACTTCAACTGTACGTAAATGCATATAAATATACATATACGTTTTGTTTAAAGGAATCAAAATATTAAAAACTGAAGGATTTATGATGACCATAAACGTGTCATAAAAGGTCTATAAACATTGGGTGCTCATGACATCACAGCTTTCACATCACATGATTACATTTGAGCGAGCTGCTGGCGGTGAATTCTGCGCTGGTTTTCATTAGCTCCGCATACAGGCACATGAGCGCTGGCAGAATCTCTCCAGGGCTGACGATTACCCAGCAGGCCCAGGATAATGAGCGTTTTGTCTTTGGGAGATGTAATTGCTCACAGAACACCGAGGAGAGCGGGAGAACACTGACACTGCTGTTACTGTTACCTAAAGCTACAATTCTTTTAAAGGAAAGTTGTTAATTGGAATAATGCATGCAATAACATGTACACACAAATACACTTGAATATGAGTGATATTTCTGTTCTTTATATTATTACATTATTATGGTGTTCTTTCTTTATAATATTCAGGAGACTAGTGCAAAAATAGTGATATCTGAATTGCCATTATTAATGTGGTTTAATTCAATTTAAATAAAATATAATAAAAATATTTCATTAATTTTCTTAGTCCCTTTATTAATCCGGTGTCATCACAGCGGAACGAACCGCCAACTTATCCAGCACGTTTTTACGCAGCAGATGCCCTTCCAGCTGCAACCTGTCACTGGGAAACACCCATTCACACACATAGACTGCGGACAATTTAGCCTACCCAATTCACCTATAGCGCATGTCTTTGGACTTGTGGGGGAAACTGGAGCACTCCACACTGAAACTGACCCAGCCGAGGCTCGAACCAGTGACCTTCTTGCTGTGAGATGAACATGCTACCCACTGTGCGTCCGCGTCGCCTTAATAAAAATAATACTAAATTAAAATATTGTAAAAAAATAAAAAAAGTACAAATCACTGCTAAATTAAAAATTTTAATTAGTGCTAAAATAAATAATCAGATTTTTAGCTAAATAGTACTTTTATTTGAACAAATATTAATGCAATCACTGAAATATAACAATCACTAAAACTAACTAAGGAAGGAATATTACACTAATATTACACTTTTATATTAAAATTTGAAAAAATATATATATAATAAAATGTATTATATTTTTAATGTAATTTATTATAATATTTATATATATAAAAAAAAAAAAATATATATATATATATATATATATATATACATATATATATATACATATATACATATAAATATATACACTATAAACATATAAACATATATATATATATATATATATATATATATATATATATATATATTTTTTTTTTTTTTTTTAAATAAATATTATAATAAATATACATATACACTATAAACATATATGATCAAAAATAACAATGAAATATAAATATTAAAAAAAGAAGAAAAAGGAATAAAACTAAAACAAATTAAACTAAATAATAATAATACATGCTATTTGAATAAATATTAATGCAATTGTTAACATAAAACAAAATTACAAAAATTACATAATTTAAAGAGCCCCTATTTTGCATTAAAAAAGGTCATATTTTGGTTTTAGGGGTCTCCAATAACAGGTTGATCTGCGTGCAAGGTCGAAAAACACGTTCACTGTTTTATAATATGCATTTATTTTTACCTAATTATCCCAGCGTCTCCAATATGATTAGTTTAGCGCCAAGCTAATCTGTGGTGATTGGTCCGAAGACCCAGTCTGTTGCGATTGATCGACTGTTCAGCACGAGACAGAGAAAAGCCCATCACAGCTACAGTATGAAGTAGCAGAAAGTATGAGAGCCCATTGCAGGAATGCAATGCAGTTAAACACCAGCATATTACTCTCCTCTTAACCCTAACCCCAAGTAATAAAACAACACACACTCAGTATTAATCCACACAGTGGCAAAAGTTGAACTATTTTGAAAATTGACCACACTGCGTGTGTGTATGAACAGCTGATGGTAGCCATAACAAAATCAAACAACAGAGGATCGCCAGTTCAGAAACCCATTTAAATCAGTGAAGGAAGAAGCACGCGGCACGTTTTCACTGTGGTTTTGGACGTGATATGTGAACAGCTTCATACTGATTTAACCTGAGAGAAACAGAAGAAGCACTGATCTGTAATAGATATGTTATTACAAGCCATGCTGAGCGATTACAAGTTACAACACACATTTAAACACACAAAACGTGGCAGCAATTTTTATGAAACTTACATGTTATGATCCGGAGGAAGAAGAAACTGGTCCATATGAACTGTAAAAGTTACTGTAAAAGTCCCTGTCAAAGTTTGACCAAGTCCTGTAGTCTCTGCTGCTCCTTCAATAGCAAAGGGCCGATGAATCCCGCGTTGCAGTACAGGTTATTGTATCAAAAATCAGAAAAAAGACAGGAACAAACACATTAAATGGTTGGCTATACTGTGGTATTGTTGTGAAAATGAACTTTAACCCTTCATTCCCTTAGCTGAATCTCCATCCGTCAGTGATCGTCATCTTCGCGTCATATTCAGTCTCGTGATCCCCCGAGCCTCCGCTAGTGTATGGAGGGAAAGTACATATTTGGTGATGTGACCGTGTCAACATCGATAAGATCAAACAAAAGATCTGAACCCAACTCGATTAGTTTATTCGACTCTTAAATTCACTTAGTGCTGCTACACACTGCATGAAGATCGTTTTCAAAAACCCATAATGGGGGCTCTTTAAAAGAAAATGTAGTTTATAAAATTAGGAATATTGTGCATGGGTCCATAATTTTGACAACACCATGGCATTAAAGTGTATAACAGTCTGATAAAACCTCTCAGGATATGCTTTTATGTTTCATTTAATGTTTTCATTCACTCCCTTCAACACAAGATGTTTTAATAGACTCATTGAAGTTATGATAGGAAAGAATTTGTAACATGACTGATGAATTCATTTGATCATTTCCCGCTGGTATTTATTGCTATTCATTACTCAGTATTAAGCTGGATGCAGCATTTCAGTTCTGAATTTCATCTCTTTTTTTTTTTTACATTTTGTTTTTGCAGACTATGGCTAAAGTAATCACATCCATGCTGAAGTTTCCTGCAGATCAGGCGCAGAAGGTTCTGGAGCGTGAGGATTCACGAGTCATGGTTAGTGTTCAGAAGCAGAAGTGTTTACAGCAGCTCACTTTATTCGCTTTTTTATTATCAGATAGCTGTGTAAATGTGAAAAGAGCAGGTTTAGATGCCCTCTGAACTGTGTTCACAATGGCCGTAAATCCAGTCATTCAAAGTACTTCAGGAGGAGATTGAGGACAAAACTGGACAGGTATAAATGCGTCTAGTTGTTGAAACCACATGTTGAAACCACGTGTAAATTACACTTAATCTCAAAATTAAAAAAAAAAAAATAGAATAAATAAACATGTGAGAGTGTTATGAGTAGGGCCAGATAGAATCTGCAGACATTTTTTGCTATTTATACTCTTATCTTTACTGCAAATTTATGATTTTGTACGTGTAGTAACTGTGAACGAGAATTAAGTGGCGCCAAATAAATGAAAGCAATATAACAAAAACCCCAAATCTAGCTAACATTTACCCACTAATCTGTCTAATACAAAATAAACAAACAAAACTGCATGTCAACCAAAAATACGAATAAAACTTACAGCTGGTGGCACCCACTTCTAAACTAGTGTGTTTAGACAGTGGAGTTATCTGCGTGATGCAAAGTGTATGTCACGTGACATCTAAACTCCTCGAATCCAAGGCCAGACGTCAGGAAATTGCCACATATACACATCCAAGACGGTAACAGCGATCAACACAAGAACAAGACCAAAATCAAAACTAAGTTCACGTCAATATCACAGCACATAACAACAAGCCAAAAAACACACACAAAAGCAAGCAAGACAGAGCAAAAGCAGAACGAGCTTCCCCGCTCACATCCCTTTAAACTGTGAGCTCCTATGCTGATTGGTTGTGAAGGTGATGATGTCACAAGGTGGAATTGAGATTGACGTCTTCACAGACGAATGGGATACTGGAATGGGCGAACTGGAGAATTGACAAAGAAAGAGAGGGGAAGTGAGCAAGCAAGCGAGAAAGAGAGAAAAAGAGAGCGCGCACACACAAACAAAACAAACAGGCATATACATATGACTGTAACAGCAACTAAAAACTGACTACATGAAAAAAAAAACTTGTTTTTAAGGTTAACAATGCAATAGATGTACTTGTTTGATAAACAAAGCAAATCTCTCATATTATATCTACTGAAAGACAAAATATTGAATTGTATTGTAAATCAACCATATAAACATTTGCATATTAGTCAATAATATTACTGAAATTAATATAAAAAATGAACAAATATATATTTACCTATTTACATAGACTCAATGATTGACAAAAAAAAATGTGCCGATTTCTGCACGCACAGATTTTGTGTGGTCCTAAATGGGCAATACGACATACAGCAACTCCACAGACGACAGTAAATCCTAAGCTAAAATCTCTTTGATCGTTGGTTTGACATGTTCACAGACAGCAGCTTAGTTCCCATTGCGATCAGATTTTTCTTTCGATGAAGTTCTGGCAGTGTCTGAAGATTTTAGACACTTTCCTGCAGCTGTGATGAGCATCAATCAAAGAGCCAATAGGAGCTCTGAATTTGATGACGCAATCCATGCGAGAATTCAAACAACTGTGGGGAAATTTCAAAGCAGTTTTTTTCTCTCCTAGTTTAATTATTGAGACAAATTGCCGGTACAGTTTGTTTACGTTTGCTGTGAGGAATAATTTCAGAACACGGGATAGAGCTGTGTCTCGGGTGAATGACGTCAAACTCCCGGGCCGTTTTCTTTTTATATTTGGCGCGTCTTCATTGTCATTCAGTCTGACTTTAACAGCTGAGATCTTACCGTGTGACATAGGAGCCATGTTCGTGCCGTCTGACATACGACAATCATTGAGGATTTTTAAAAAATCATTTAATTCCCCTTTTTTTTGTATAGCACTTTTACAATGTAGATTGTGTCAAAGCAGCTTCACATAAAAGATCATAGTAAATTGGAACAGTGTGGATTTTTCCCATGAATCATCATTTGAACTGCATCCCAATCATCACAAATACTGCAGAAGACTTATTTGGGGGCGTGCGAGAGATCTGCAGAGTAGATGGCAACATCAACGGCATGAGGTATCAAGACATTTGTGCTGCCCATTACATTACAAACCACAGGAGAGGGACAATTCTCTAGCAGGATAGCGCTCCTTCTCATACTACAGCCTCCACATCAAAGCTCCTGAAAGCAAAGACTGCTCCAGGATTGGCCAGCCCAGTCCCCAGACATAAACATTATTGAGCATGTCTGGGGTAAAATGGAGGAGGCGTTGAAGATGAATCCACAGAATCTTAATGAACTCTGGGAGTCTTGCAGAAATGCTTTCTTTGCCATTCCAGATGACTTTATTAATCAGTGATTTGAGTCATGTCAGAGATGTATGGATGCAGTCCTCCAAGCTCATGATGGAGTCAGACACAATATTCATTCTGTCTCCACTGCAGCAGGACTTTATATTCTACACTGGACATTATTTCTGTTCAGTGATGAGACTTTTGTCTCAGCAAAGTCAGACCTTACTGTCCTAATTAATCATTCAAAATCAAGGCATGATCATATTTTATTGTGGTCTAATAAGCGTAATCTAGAGGTCTTTGCCTTTCATATAAGCCACTTCTGATATCAAATGATCAACTAGAAGTCAAGATATTATTTGTTGTTCCTAAAACTTGAATAAGCGAAAAACCTGACAATCTACCTTGCAGCTAAAAACCTGACAAGTCCGAAGCTAGCAGGTTGTAATTGTCTCTGATTTGTTCATGTGACGTCAGGTGAAAGCGCTCGCTGCTGTTTGTGTGTTGTCGTAGATCCTGATGCTGAAACTGAGCTTCTGTTCTCCATCTGTGTGTTTTACAGCCTTGGCTCCGGTGAGGAGGACCAGAACTCTGCCTCAACCTGGAACACAGAACCACCCATTCTCCTGCTGCTCTGATAAATGCTACTGACGTGTGTGTGTGTGTGTGTGTGTGTGTGTGTGTGTATCTATCTCTCTCTCTCTGTGTGAAGTGTGTGCGTACATCTGTGAGTGTGTGTGAACTGGTTGTGTGTGTGTGTGTGTGTGTCTCTGTGTGTCCGTGTGTGTGTGTCTTTGAGAGTACGTGAACTGGTTGTGTGTCTCTACCTCTCTCTCTCTCTCTCTCTCTCTCTCTCTCTCTCTCTCTCTCTTTCCCTCTGTTTGTGCGTGTTTCTTTTTGTGTTTGTGTGTGTCTGAGTTTGTGTGAAGCATGTGTGTGTGTGAAGTGCATGTGTGTATAAACTGTTTTTGTACGTGTGAACTGTTTGGGGGTGTGTGTGAGTGCGTGCGTGTGTGTGAGTGTACATGAACTGATTGTGTGTGTGTGTGTGTGTGTGTGTCTGTGTGTTTCTCTGTTTGTGTGTATGAGAACTGTGTGTGTGTGTTTGTGTGTGTGTGTGTGTGTGTGTGTGTGTGTGTGTGTGTGTGTGTGTGTGTGTGTGTGTGTGTGTGTGTGTGTGTGTGTGTGTGTGTGTGTACGAACTGTTGTCTCTCTCTCTCTCTCTCTTTTTCTGTGTGAGTGTGAGTGTGTGTGTGTGCGTGGTCACTGGTACAAGGGATCTAGGATAGGTTAAGAAATGGACAGGAAGTATAAAGACTATTCTTCAGTGTGTAGATTGGCAGTAATTTCTGACATGATCTTTCCTGCTCTCTCCTCCTCAGTTTTAGGCTAGACGGTTCTTCTTTTTAAAGCTGCGCTTGTATGATTCGAGAACTTGTGCAATAAGTTTGACTGTAAGTCTCAGTTTGATTAATTCTCCTATTTTCTCCTGAATGATTTCCTCTTTTCTCTGTTTTATGGTTAGATGAAATGACCCTTTAAAGATTTGCACAGCACATGTACAATATAAAGACACAGGCTCATAGTGCGCTGATCCTTTATTACGCCATTTTGTTTGTTTTTGTAACTTAATACTGTATTTTTGGGGAAGCTGACTAATTAGAACCACGCTTCATATTGTAAATAATCATGATGGGGGGAAAAGGCTATAAATCTGTCTTTCATGGGGCACTTTTGAGGTGGTTAATACATTTTAAGACAACTAATAAAGTTTTATTTACACTACATTCACAACTTGCTTTTTCATGCACAGCATTTCAAACCTGTTGGTAAGACTAGTTAGCCATCATCTTTAGTTTTGCTGTAATGTTATAGTTAGTTTTTTTTTTTTTTGAGCCATTGAGTCCGAGTCATTTGATTTTGAGTATCTACCGGTACCAAAACCCAGTCCGGTACTTCTATAATACATAAAAAAAAAGAAGAGCAAAGAAACTGTTCCTTTTTTATTTTCACCTTTTATTTTCACCTTATTTTAGCATTCAACAACTCTGTTAACAAATAGAGCACTTCTGTGAGGTAGTTTGAACAATCAAGTAATAAATAATAGAAATTCTTGACTTGTGGACTTTAGTGCAACTTTAGATATACAAAAAATATAATATACAAAAATAGCACCTACCCGGCAGGCAATCCCAAGTTTGCGTATCTTACAGTTTGCTATGGCAATGATGTCGTCATCCACTTTATAATACCTGCAGACCGCAGACATACTCGCACTATCCTTTTCAAGCTGCTTCTGTGTTCTACTTTGCCGGCATTTAACCAAAATCATCTCTGCAACAAAGTAATGTCCGTCCACACATGTTGCTGTTTCTGTGTGAAGACAAGAAAGACAAGCTTAACTATAGATGTGTAAAAAAAATATGACTATATAGAGTTGAAGTCAGAATTATTAGCCCCCACTTTGAATTTTTTTTTCTTTTTTAAATATTTCCCAAATGATGTTTAACAGAGTGATGAAATTTTCAGAGTATGTTTGATAATGTTTTTTCTTCTGGCGAAAGTCTTATTTGTTTTATTTCGGCTAGAATAAAAGCAGTTTTTAATTTATTATAAACCATTTTAAGGACAATATTATTAGCCCCTTTAAGCTACATATTTTTTCAATAGTCTACAGAATAAACCATCATTTAACAATAACTTGCCTAATTACCCTAACCTGCCTAGTTAACCTAATTAACCTAGTTAAGCCTTCAAATGTCACTTTAAGCTGTATAGAAGTGTCTTGAAGAATATCTAGTCAAATATTATTTACTGTCATCATGGCAAAGAGAAAATAAATCAGTGATTAGAGATGAGTTATTTAAACTATTATGTTTAGAAATGTGTTGAACAAATATTCTCTCTATTAAACAGAAATTGAGAAAAAAATAAAGAGAGGGTCTAATAATTCAGGGGGGCTAATAATTCTGACTTTAACTGTATATATTCGATTCCTGATTAGGTAGAAACGTCCGATTTCAGTCTGAAACTGCTTTGTCAGGCCCAATTTCCGATCACGTGATTGGATCTGGACATCTCTATTTATAGTCTATGATAGCCAAGTAAAATTTAAGTGTGCAAAGAATGATTATATGGCAGCACGGTGGCTTAGTGGTTAGCACTGTCACCTTACGACAAGAAGGTCGCTGGTTCGAGTCCCGGCTGTGCTGGTTGGCATTTCTGTGTGGAGTTTGCATGTTCTCCCCGTGTTGGTGTGGGTTTCCCCCACTGTCCAAACACATGCGCTATTGACCTTATTCTTCAATGTGGAAGTGCGCTCGTTTTTGCGATTGTTTTATAACTTCCGATTCAACTGCCTATGGGAGAAATGACTAGGAATGATGAACGGCAGAAAACAGTCAAACTAGTTGCTCTACAAAACAAGTGTTCACATGACCATACAGACAAAATAGAATAATAATACAATATAATACAATATGAAAGTGTCAGTTTGCAACATCAAGCAGCAAAACAAGCTGTTTTTAACATCTAAAAATTAATGGAAGTGAATGAGACCAGAAGTCTCCAGCCAAAAAGTTTCAAATGGCCACGCCCTCTTGTACACGGAGAATAAGGTGAATAGGGGAATTAGATCATCTAAATTGGCTGAAATGTACATAACCCGGAGTAGTTGGCAGTTCATTCCACTGTGGTGATCCCTGATAAATAAAGGGGCTAAGCTGAAGGATAATGAATGAAGAATGATTATCATATTCTTCTACCAGTCAATTTGGGATAAGGATGAGACACTATTTTGTTATTTTGCATCAAGTTAAATTTAGAAAAGTATTGCATATGCATAGAAAGCATAATAAATATATGTCAAGTATCTACTTTAATTTTTAAGTAACTTTTGTGAAACTAAATTGTCAAAATATAGGTCAAACAATGTTCAGTAACATTCAGCTTAACAGATCTTTTTGTCAGAATGAAACAACATACTTATTCTGACCCATACTTATAAAAATATCTAAAGTAATAAGTTATCATGCTAAAATTGCTATTGGAAATGTTTTGTTAGTAAGTGGGTGAGAAAACCTTTATAATCTGAAGGATAGTGTCAAAGAAACGTGATTTACAATGAGAATTAATGAGTATTGTGGTGCCAAAAAACGAATTTTTAAACATGGCCCTTTAATATATCATCAAATAATTCTTATAAATAGAAGATTTTTGGACATGTGTACTATTGTGAATGAAGATGAGAATCTTGCTGGGTTTCTTTTGTAAGTAAGCGTAAATTGGCTTTTTTTCTTTAAAATAGTTTTAAATTAACACATTAAAATGGACTGTTAAAAAAGAAAGAAAGAAAGCTGTTACCAATTTTATTTTTGACCATTTACTGTAACCTAAAAGCAAAAACAGTATCTTACAGTATTTTAATGATCAGTATTCAGATATCAGACTATGTTTAGACAACTTAAAAATGAGAAATGGGATTATGTATTTATTATATTTACAGTTAAAGAAAAAATTATATTAATTTAATTTTATTTTTATTTTTTTTTTACAGCTGTTGTGCCTCCTAATAGTAACTTTGTGGGCCCCAAAATTGTGCGGGCCCTTAGAATCGTCCTAACTTTCCCTCGGTTGCCCCTGTTGATATCCCCATTAAGATTTTTTCCCTTATTGGCTATACCCAGGGTGTTCAAACTTAGTCATGGAGGCAGGGCCGGAGTGGGACTCCTTTTCAGCCCTGGAGTTTCAAGCCTCAGACCGGCCCACCTCAGTTCACGAGTGACTATATTAAAATAAGGTCATTTCCAATTCAGTTTCTAATTACACTATCACGTCTTTTTTTGACAAAACAGCTGCTTTAGAACTTCAAATGTTCAACAACCCTAACAGTATTATATGTCTTAACAATAAAAATGAAAAAAAAAATTACTCAGATGAGGATCAAACCCTGGTCGATGGCGTCATATCCTAAAGTGCTAACCACTCGTCCACAACAGCTGTACGGTGAGAGGTGCCTCATCTGGGTTAATATCATCATTAATCTGCAGGCTGCATCCTGCTCACGAGGCTGCGAGAAAATAGATAAAAAGAGCAGAGCTGCGTAAAATAATGAATAAGAAGGCTGTGGTCAAGTAAATAAATACATTAATTTAAAAAGTGTGATTGCTGAGAGCAACAGATTCTGGAGCTAGGGACACCGGCACTCGCGGCCGAAAAATGGACCGGCCCACCGGGAATTCTCCCGGTCTTCCCTATTAGCCAATCCGGGCCTGCCTGGAGGGCCGGTGTCCTGCATATTTTAGTTCCAACCCCAATTAAACACACCTGAACCAGCTAATCAAGCTCTTTCTTTGTACATTAGAACAGGGGTGTCCAAACTCGGTCCTGGAGGGCCGGTGTCCAGCAGATTTTCGCTCCAACTTGCTTCAATACACCTGCCAGGAAGCTTCTACAGAGCTTGATTAGCTGGTTCAGGTGTGTTTGATTTGGGTTGGAGCTAAACTCTCGAGGACACCGACCCTCCAGGATTGAGTTTTGACACCCCTGCGCTAGAAACTTCCAGGGAGGTGTGTTGAAAGAAGTTCACTGAACACTGGCCCTCCAGCACCAAGTCAGAACACTGTTGTCCAACGGCTTGCCTAATTAACAGTTAAGCACTTTAAAATTACACTTAAAGCTGAATAATATTAAAGACTATAGAAAACACTTAAATGTAGAATAATATGTGTTAGAATACGCCTTCAAGGGACTTTGATAATATCCCAAAATATGTGTCGAAGCAAGATTTGTCACCAAAAATCATTCCATTTGTTGAAACCCAAAGTTGTCGCCAAATTAAGACTCAAAATCACCCGTCCCAGAGTGGATAAAACACCCCCAACACACACAAGGGTTAAATATATGTTGTTCATAATCATAAAAATGAGCCCAGAAATAAGATAGACCATGATGACACATTTTCAAATACTCTGATGTATTGAGAGCAGTTCAATATGATTTGCAGTGCTGCTTTCTACCGGCAGGTGTCGCCAATGGACGCGGCGCTGTTTTAATATGAAATGTGACGCTCGTGCAACACACACACGCGCAC